TTAACACAATTTATTTTCTCTCGGTCAAATTACTGTAAACCTCAAATCACATGGAAAAGATAAATAAAAATCCATTTAAATCTCATTTAGTAAAGGTATTTTAAGAAATATACATTTTGGTTGATTAAATTTTAAAATAATGTTTTAGTCTCTCTACAATAATGATAATTTTAAAATTTTCAACTTTCCAATGCAAATTACTTCAGAGTAAAATATAGGTTTAAATTTTTACTCTAATATGTATCTTCTTTTATATGCATCATTACCACCAAACTACAGATGAAGATAATTTAAAAAAAAAAAAAAAAAAAGAAAAGAAAAGAAAAGATCATAGGTTATTTTTGTGAAGACAAGACAACCGAAAAGGTAATTTTGCAATCAAATAAAAGCAAAAGTTGAAAAATCCACCAGATTTTCTCTGTCTCAGTTAAAGATAAGTGATGGTTTATTTGACAGTTGTGAGAAATAATTTATTTTCGTCTTCTTTCTTTTTAAAATGTAATATTTTAATTTCCAATTTTTTTTTATATAAATAAAATCTCTGTTTTCTCTTTTAATAACACTAATGATTAATTGAATATGTTGTATAATAATATTTAAATAATAAATTTAGCTGTAATACGTTAAACATTGAAATGATTTTCTTCTATATTTATGAATTTCAGTAAAATGAAAAATTAGACAAAATTAATACTTCTTCCATGATAAGATATATTGTGTGAGAAGTAGGCAGGAGAACTTCGGACATACATGTGGCCAATTCGAATTTCGAATCTTGATAAATAGTATACGATATCAAAGTGTATAAATGAAATGAGATTAATAAAAATAAAATAACTAGAAAGAATAGAGGAGAGGGAGATTTAGGAGGGGAAAGGAGTCTTATCAAATGGGGCTGTAAAGGGATTGTACCATAGCAGACCAAAAGGCATAGTGGTTGGTTCGTTAGGTTGGGTTGCCCATTCATTGCCCCACACTTAAATTCTCCTCTCTCTCTCTCTCTCTCTATGTATATTATTATTTTTTTTTACCAGGACACAGTCATAAAAAATAAGCATTAATGTTGTATTTTTGGAAAAAGAAAAAGGAAAAAAGGAAACAAAGGAAGGCCACAGCACACGTGTGGGTAAGGAATGTGGCGCTATCCCCCACGCCGAGTACTCCCTCTGCACCCGCACGGGCGCCTCCCCTTTCTCCTTCACTCCTTTTTGCCTTTGCCCCCCCTTTCTCAATCCACATTTTTATTTTCTTAAAAAGCTTTCCTTCTTTTATATCTTTTTTTGTTCCACTACTTTTCCCATCCACCTCCACCGACGTTTTATTTCCTTCTTTCATATCATATTATAAATAAATCAAAACTTTATATTATAATTAAGCGTGTTTAATTTTTGTATAACAAAAGAGTTTCAAGGACACTAAAATTTGGAAAGAAGTGAAAGTTTGAATAGTAAAAAATACACAAAAACCATCATTCCGTACTACATGGTAAAAAGGGTAAAAAAAAAAAAGAGAGAGAGAGAGAGAGAAAAGCAAACAATAAGTGGGAGGCCAAGTTTACACGCGACCGGTAATGATGCACGCACGTGGACATGAAATGAATGTCCAAAAGGCTTCATTTCTGTGACGCATTTAATCAAACAGTTTGTATCGGCGGAACTTAACTGATGAACCACTTTATCGACCGTCCATGGACTGCCCGTGGCCGTGGCCGCACCCTCACCACTCTTATGATCAACCCCTTTAAATATTATTTCCTCTAAATTAATAATTCTTATTTTATTTATTTTTTATCATCTTTAATTCTTTTTTCTATTTATCAACTATAATTCTAAACATTTTATATTTTGTCTTTAATTTTTCCTCTAATTCATTTTAGTCTTACTTTTAAAATATCTATTTTCATCCGAAAACTTTATCTCAATCAAACTAAAATATTTATTTTAGTCCTTGCAGGTATAAAAAGAAATCATTTGGTCCCTATTTACAAAATTTAAGCATACATTTTACACCCGATAAAAGCACCTTAATACAATTTTATGACTAAATTATAAGACATTTAATTTTAAAAAAAATGAGGAGATTAAAATAAAATTTAAGCGAAAACTATAAATGTATTATTATTATTTTAAAATGATGCTTACATGATAAATAAATAATAAATTGAAAGAGTTTTTAAAGTTTGTGTATTAAAAAAATATTATTTATTGAGACAAAATTAATGTATAAATTAAAAGGTAAATATGGAAAGCGATAAAAGAAAAGGCAATGGAAGTGGGTAATTATTAGATTGCTTGGTCCATTGAAGCACTGTTGCCATTACTGTTGGCTTCAATCATTATTGTTCTTTGTTTATTTTAATTATTATTTTTTAATTTTACAGATTATTTTGTTTATTTTTGTTAAATACTTAAACCAATTCCGATCCCAACTGTACAGGTTGGTCCGAAGGAGAGAGAAAAAAGAAGGTAGGGTTTTAAGGGTAATATATGTTTTATTTTAGTCCAAAAAGGTTTTAATATAATATATAATAAATTATAAGGGTGGTACCTACGTCTTCACGTTTGTGTTAATTAAATGGTAACTTTATAAAGTGTTCAAAGAAGTTTTTTTTTTTTTTTTTTTTA